ATAGTGATAGCGCCACCTACTGGAAACAGCAAGTAATTGCTGCGTGGTGATTTTGATCTGATTTATGGGAAATTTTCATGTTGTGGTCCGCATGTGTTATGCCGGTACATGAGGTGGCCGCAGCACATCCCGAGTTGTGTGGAGTGCGAGGGCCCGTTCATCGCTGCTTGCAGCTTTAATTTTTTATTTATCATTGTTGTACGCCTAAAGTGATTCTAACTTTCTTCAATTCTTCAAATAATGGTTGTGGTAATGTATTAGAAATGCCCACAGATGTTAGAAAGGTCAGACCCCTTCTTATGGGAGCTCAGCTCCAACTGGCTCCCACATAACTCTAACCCTGGTTAGGTTTAGGAAAAGATCATGATTTGGGTTAAAATAAGTATGTTATGTTGCCATTACTGTGGCAAGAAGGCACGTGAAACATAAAACTTGAATGAAAAATTTCAGAGCAATACTGACATACCCCTTATTATGTATCATCTTACCTCTAGCTCAAAGTACCACTTCCCTGCATTAACACAGTAGGTTTTCTCTGCTCTGAAAATACGGAATCTCTCATCAGACATGTTGCTGAGGTCAGATTGAGCTGCTGGATGAGAGGGAGGCAGAGGGGAAGAATGGTTAAGGAAAGCATCTACTGAGCCAACTCATGGACAAACTATAATTTTCTTTATACTTTGTATAATCAAGGTAGTAATTTTTGCAGCCAAAAATTATTCTACCATGGTCCTGGTCAGGAGCTTCCAGGTTGTATCCATATCCTAGCAGAGTCCTGACAGCCTCCCTGAGACTATCCTTGTTGGACTTCTTGGTTCTCTCATCCAGAAGAATGTAGGGGACCAGACGAGGGTTTCTTCGATTCTTCACATCCTGAGAAGGGACAGAGAAAAGACGAATAAAAAGGAAATAACCAATAACTCTATAGAACTTTAGTGCTGTCTGAGAAAAGTAAAAAAGTAGTTCTTGCCCCTCCCTGATTACCATCACTTAGGTGCTCTTTAGCTGCTTGGATTACTATTATTATTGATATGGACAACCCCATCGCAGTTTGTCTTTTTTGGCATGGCACATAGTTCTTTTGGGTTTTTTTCCCACAATAATACAGTATATGTCACAGTCTCCTACCTGTTGGATGCCATAGGTCCAGCCCTGGCGGATGCGGTCTCTTGCCCAGACGTTGTGTGCATTCTCAGCCAGTTTGTCCACCATGGCTTCTTGGGTGGAGGTCAGTTTGATGTGACTGAGGTCCAACGGAGCAGGTTTATAGCCACTGGACAACTCATAGCTGCATAGATAGAGTTGAGTCAGAGTCGATAGCTATCCAGATGATTTTTGTTCAACATCATGTTAAGTATCATCCTGCATCCCATCCTTGTTGACTTGTGGCAATAATTGTGTTTTATAATACTGTATAAAACATAAATGAAAATATTACATATTACATATTTCATACAACTTACGTTGGTGACAGTTTCATGCTCTTGACTTTCTCTACAGCATGTTCATCTGCTAGGCCAACATGGCAACCTAAGGCCAGGAGAGTTCTGTAACACACACAATCAAATACATTATTTATTATTTTTTTAGTTTTCAGGTCTTTGATATTTAGCCAAACATTACCCCTACGTTTAACTGCCTAGCCACAGAAATAAACTTGTTCACACTGCAGGCAATGAGTCTGCACATGTGAGTCAGATCTGTTTTATTATGACAGGGGGAACAGAATAAGTCTGATCTGATCTCAATTCTGATTTGAGCCACTTTCATATGTGGTCGTAAATCAGATACAGGTCTTAGTGTTTGCAATGCTACCTCAGTGTGAACAGTCACATCAGAGTTCATGTGACTAACTTTAGATTGACATTCATCACAATTCTGTGCTGGCGGGAGACACTCAGCTGTGTTGGAGGTATTCAGTGGAGGGACAGTGAACATTGGGTGTTCCAGGAGGAGAGGAATAGAGCCAGGATAAGAGCCATGCTAGCCCAGCTTGGACTTAAGGCTGACCAGTCTGGAGGAAATGGGACTGGTGACTGGTTGGCCACACAACAGAAAATGAGAGACTGTTGTTCCCACATCCTTACACAGACCTACTCCATCAACATCCTGCATCTTCTACAAGCGGACTTCCAACAATGATGCTTGGTGCTCAAATGCAGTCAAAGTGGATGGAGACTGTTTCTTTTTATGTCAAGATGGAACCATTTTATCATCACTATCTTGTTTACATTCCCCAAAACGCAAATTCAAAAGATTCACTGCAGAATTATTTCCTAAGTGTATATGTGTATGTATATAAATTTTATACATTGGTTTATTTTATTTTATTTATTTTACATGTTGTTATTGTTGTATGTTATTCTATAAATTTAATTAGCCTCATTTTCTATGTGTGTTGCATGAAAGACTGCAAATGTTCATTTCACTGTACAACCTTGTGTTGTATAAAAATAAACAAATTTCCTTAATCCTTAAATCAGAATTAAGCGCTAAAGCTTGTAGTGCAAAGTTTGCTGATGTACATTATGAACACGTCATGTGTCATCAGAGCAGATAAACATTTTATCTAACTATCATATCTTATGTTGCTCACTGCACTGATGCATTACTTGAGAGTCTCTAGAGACATCTGTAAGTTGTAGCTTCGCTCTTGTTCAGGAAGCTTGGAGAACTCCACCAGACAGGGGTGTTGCCGCTTGTTATCATCTCGCACCTGAAACACACACATAAAAAAGCAAAGAACAGTAAGGGAGCCTGTTGCTTGGCATCCTTTGATCTCAGGGCACAGGGAACCAGGGGACAACTGGATGCATGTAGGCATAGAACTGGAGCTTCTAGTGCACTGCTCTCTAACAGGTTTCACTACTGTTTGGTAAGTGATGTGTGATATACAGCAAGAAGTGCCCAACTTCTGGTGCTGCAGCTGTGCCAAAGTCAAAATACAACACAGGGTGTGTCACCCTGAGCCAGAGTGCGCTCAGTAACTTAGTACGGTACTTAGTGCAGCTAACAGCTCAGCTCCACAGAGGTAGGTTAGGTTGAAGTCTGGCCTCCGCCTGCTAGGGAGATGTTGTTAAATACCTTAAGGTGATCAAATGAAAATGTGAAAATGTCACAGAAACACAGAATCTCACAGATGTAACTGCAATTCCAAAAGGTTTCTGTTGTCATAGACAGGTGTAATCTCAGTCACACATAGCGCCATTACAGTAACTATTGTAGGGTTCTGCTATGTTCTGTTTATAGCTCTTTTCAGACATGGAATACACACAATTTCTGGCTTCAACAAGTTGTGTAAGTGATGGAATGTTGTCTTTCAAACATGAGATGATGCTAATTTAACCTTAGATATATGGTAAATGGACTGTACTTTTATAGCACCTTTCTAGTCTTTCGCCCACTCATTGCGCTGTACACTACATGCCACACTCACCCCATTCACGCACATTCATACACTGATGGCAGTGGCTACCATGCAACGTGCCAACTGCTCACCAGAACGGAAACTAATCATTCACACAGTCATACACCGATGCACTGCATCAGGCTCGATTTGGTGTTCAGTATCTTGCTCAAGGACACTTCGACATGCAGCAAGAGGATCGAACTGCCAACCTTCCGATTAGTGAAGATTAGTGGATCCGCTCTACCTCTGAGCCACAGCCGCACGTTATGTAAAGAGGAGCATGTCTGAAAGGCTTATAATCAGTGTGTCATATACAGCATTGAGCTGTTACTCACTGCACCGTAGGTCCAGCCAAGTTCTATCTTGTTCATCACCCACAGTTCATGAATGTTTTCGGCAAGCTTCTCCCTGATCCTCTCCAAGTGAGGTGGCAGCATAATCTACACAGACAGACAAACATTGTATTTAAATCGCTTAGGACACTGCTCTTCTGTAGCTTCAGTCTGGCTGTGCCCTCTCTTTTTTAACTGACATAAAATGTCCTATATAAATGACCATTCCTCTAAGCTGGTAATAACCTGAAAGTAGTCTGTACCTGGCTGGTGTCCACAGGTGTCGGGGTGAATGCTGCCTGGCTCAGGGTGATGGTAGGTCCCAGTAGGTCTCTGGCTGCAGTCTGGTCCTGACTAGGCTCCAGCTTCAACTTCTCCCTGGGCAACACCGCCTCATAACAAGGGGCGTAGCCTGGAGGAGGGAGGAACTTAAACTCCCCATGACGCCCCCCGAGAAGGAAACGCACCCTGAAGTGTGACAGATGACAAACAGAGGTATCAAAGAAGAGGGTATGATTTCAACATGGAAAAATGTATTTATTTACTTTCCCACATACAATAATGTAGCAGTCTGCACAACCACCAAACCCAGTAAGTTAGATAGCTAGCATCAGACTTTTTTATCAGCCTGACTGGTCCGATTTCAGATTTCTGCACAAGATAACAAGGTAAAAGTTTATATAAATAAACATTTTAATAGCCACACATAATATAAACCTGGAAAAGTGCAGTTTTGCTGTAGTTGCATTTTCTCCGGTGTTTGAAGTTCAGAAAGTGTCAGTTAGAAGTATATTTCTCATACCCTTACTACCATTTATTTTGATGTATTATTACTGCCTTTTAACCAGTTGTACAATATGCATCGCAGAGTATGTTCATCTTAGGGATGCATGATATGGATATTCTTTCAGCTGATATGATAACCAATAATTTCACATTTCACAAGAAGTTCATAACCTGCATTTTTCCCACAGTTGATGGCAAGAAAGTCTGAGAAGCAGTGAGCAAAGATGGATTTAATATTACATACTTCTGTTCTAAACAAATCTAACAAATCTAATCACTGTTGTTAACAAAAACAACAGTTATGACTCTTTAAATGTTCATCAAAATACTTTGCAAACATACTTCTCTATCTCTCTAACAATTTTTTTGCATAATGTAAAAACAATTGATTTATTTATCCTGATAATTCTTAATAATAATAATTTCCCATTATCAGACAATATTTTATCGGGCCCGATAATCATTGTGCATCCCTAGTTAATCTAATTGTGTGACACTGAACCTCGATTCTACAAATGATGTCCAGTACATATCAATCAACGTGCAAAGTTATTCTACTGTAGGTAGAGGTTGTGGCTTATTATTAATACAAAGTGTAACTTTTACTACCAACATACGAGAAACATAGCCTTTTTTGGCCTCATAGTGTAAAAGGTGACTCTTGTATGTATTACATTTACCACCTTTTTGACACTTTTATGGTTATGTGTTTGATGTTCAGACAAAATATATTCAAGTTTCTTCTGACAAAAAGGAACAGACAAATAAAGCTGCAAGCAGCAATGAACGGGCCCTCACACTTGGTGCGTGTCGGGGTGTGCTGCGGCTGCGTCACATGCCGGCGTAACATGTTCGGACCACAACATGAAAATTTC